TGCATGAACTGTTCCAGGTCCACATCTGTGCACAACGAGGTGCATGAACTGTTCCAGGTCCACATCTGTGCACAACGAGGTGCATGAACTGTTCCCGCTGCACTGTGCACTGTGTGCCTCATGCCAGAGAATGAACTGCACATGCAGTCCACCTGGAGTGAATCACAACCAGGTGCAATCATATCAGCTGCCTGAACCACACACCCGTAACGAAGTACACACACATCGCGGCGCATGAACTGTTTCAGGTGCACTTTTGCACACAATGAGCTGGGAAGAACTGTTCCATGTGCACTTTGCACTGTGTGTGCACCTCCTTCCAGCGCTGAACGGCGCAAAAGTGCTCATGCACCTCGTTGTGTGCGTGTAATTCATTCCAGGTATGCAGTTCAGGCAGCTGATATGATTGCACCTGGTCGTGATTCACTCCGTGCACTGCATGTGCACCTCATGCACGCGATATGATCGCACCTGGCCTGGATTGCGCTTTCCTCCAGGAACCTGTCAGTATGCCAAACTTCTTTCTAAGTTCATGCCTTTAACCTTGGTACGCAACCGGAGGTTGGTAGGTGGTGTGGGGCTAATGGACGATGTCTCCCTGACTTTGGCCCATCGCAAGGGTGATGGGGGTCGACTGCATAGGCTGACGGAATTTGAAGTACTTTTGATAAAAGCTACCCCAGTACTCTCACGCCGGAACAAACCGTCGACAACCTGGGGTTCTGGGATTTTTGGGGTTGCCGGATGGTGGTCAGGCCTGTTTTCCCTTACCTGGACAGTTTCCAACTTTCCACTAGACCAAGAACGGTGGACTGCCGGCCAAGTACTTTTTGCGCCGGCCAGGATCGTTTGTCCTGGTCCAGCCGTAAACAGAAAATAGCCTCAATTGCGGGACGGTTCTATCGGATTGCCTGCAACACGACTATACAGTGTTGGTTTCCGGCGCAGGTTTTGACTCTGCCGAAGCAGTTCTGGGCCAAAGGGTACTAGGACAAGTTCCTCAGGAAGGCTCTCCAGAACCCTGCGCGAGCGCATGAAGCGATGTGGAAACTCTCAGCTGAATTGCTAGGCAGTGGATAGGTAGGCTACTCTGCTATATTAGGTTAATTGTTGATTCTGTTGTCCTCTTTTGTCGGCATGGCTCCAGGTTCTGCCACGGAATAAGCGGGCGGAATGATGGTCTAGTCGAAAGTGGAAGAATGGACGGAGAGAAGTGGCGATGCTAGAGTCCTTTTTGCGGTTCTCTGGTGTCATTTTTCTGCTTTCTCTAGATCAAGTTACATCGATAACTTTGTGGACTTCGATCTGTGATCTTGTGTTAGATAGCCATATCTCACCTCCGAATGACGGGAGCAACCTTTGCTCCTCATTGACACCCTTTTCTGTGTGTGTAAAATAGAGAGCATACTAGTATACCCAGTATAGCGAGCTCCGTCACTTCTCCTTCTCCCTCACCAACTTCAGCAAGTTATCGTTAAAGTTTGAAGTTCTGAATGCTTCACCATCACACCAAGAATCGACAACCCGAAAACTGCCTTGTAGACTTGTGTCCAACTCTCTCTCTCTCCTCTCTCTGAGTCTCTCATACTTCCACAAGCTTCCCTCCTGATGATGATAATGATGATGAGAGACGTAGGGCAGACTGCTTTGCAGCTGCCCGAAACGCAAACACATGCCATGAACCTGACAAGTGTGAAGGTGATACACACCACAAGTAAATCAGAAGAAGAAGATGTGCAACTCGAAAGAAGCTTATGATGACCCTCTGCTAGATGGTTCAACATAGTGCCGAGCCCAAAACCGTGCACCATAGCCAAGCTATGGCGAGTCACTCGACTCCTCCGAAAAACAAGTGCACTCCTGAGCCGAGTGCTCGCTTTCCCAAACCAGCTTCTGCCAGGGCCAGACCCCCTGATGTCCAACCACCAAGTATCACCCGCCTCTACTGACTTCCTTCGCCCCTGACGAGCCAGCGCTACTCCCACTACCATAGCCAAGTACTCGCAGCTGCAGCAAACTCATTCACATGTTCGAGACGCTTCCTTTCTCTTTTCTCTCTTCCCTCTGTATGCATTTTGTTTCTACTATTTTTTTTTTGCAGTCTTCCTTCCCTTTTTCTTCTCCCCTCGACATGCTTTCAAAGTTTTTCGTCACTTTCTGTCGTTTTACTAAGTTCTAACTTCTAAGTAGTTTTACTAAGGGCATCGCCACACCACTCTCAAAATGTGCAAAATGAGAATGAACTTCCCAGTAGAACATGGCCAGGTGCACCGGCCACATTTTGTGTTTTTCACATTTCCAGAGTGGTGTGGCGACACCCTAAGTTCTTAGACTAATCCCCCTGACGTCAGAAATCTCGGGGGTACCGGTAGTCCCCCTGACGTCAGAAATTTCAGGGGTACCGGTAGTACAGAGTGGAAATCCGGTTGGGCCTGAAAAAATGGAATTTGCGAAAATGCACAAAATCAGCGCAGCAAATATTTGACGGTCAAAATGATTTATTTATTTTTCTGATGTTTTTCCCTGAAAGATCATATGACCTAATCTACAGCTGTCTCTTATACACATCTAGATGTGTATAAGAGACAGCCCCCACACATCCACCCAGATGAGGGCAAAAGATCCAGACAAGAATAAGCAAAAAAGAGGATCAAAGAGCTTAGCATGGGCCCTGCGAAGGGATGACACACATAATTCGCGAAAAGAGTCGAGAAAGAGAACCAAGGAGAGGAGAAAACAGGGGACAATTCGAACAAATAAAAAAAACTTTAAAAAAGGAAGATCAAATGGATTCTAGTGATACAAAAATGCGCTAGACTTTTACAGACACATTCACAGGAGAAAAGCAGCAAAACTTGCCAAACAGGACAAAGTACTAGGAATAAAAAAAAAAACGGATTCGAAAAAAAAATGCCGCAAGAAGTGCCACAAGGGACATTAAGAACACGGGAGACCTGCACAAAAAAAAATGCGGCAAAAAGTGTGACGGGTGTGGGACGGGTGGGGGACAGGTGGGTGGCAGTGTGAAATAGGGAAAATAAATGCAAAAAAAAAACTTTCATAACCAAACAAATGAAGGAAAAACTGCTAAAAAAGAAAATAAAGTGCTCTTCTCACAGATGGTGTCTGCTCCAGGTGGGGCGTCAGATGTCAGGGTATGATTCACTGACCATGGCCCCTGTGGCAGTCCAGACGACTGCATGTGAGCGGGCACGCGGGACCATATTCATTGACAATAGTCTGAGGCTTCCTTGAAATAGGCTGCAGTGGACGCTGTTCGGTTGTTCTGACGGAAATTCTCTTTGGCAAAGAAGGGCAAGAGTGACTCCATACACCATTTGCTGTAGGTGAGGGGATCGAACCTGCCCAAACACCTCCCAAGCCACAATCAATTTCCAGCGATGAAGCCATTTGTCTTTGCCTTCGCCGTGAATGAAGCGTGCGTGACTTCGTGAACCAAAAAAATTGGTCTTGATTTCCCGCACGTTTGGGACCGCCACAGGACCCCCACAGCAAAAACGAAAGAAAAACCTACCAATGGGAGAGCAAAAAAAAGCATCCTTTTCCCAGGCTTACTTCACAAAAACAGGCTACCGCTGATTTCCTGCCAAATCCACGATGCCTGACAGTCGCACACACCTTAAACGCTAATCCACATACATTGGTAGTGGTGGGATCTCACTCCTGGGAAGAACGAGAAGCGTCCACTTATTGGCAGCATCATGCTTACAGGACAGGATTATACAACCATTACTGATAATATGACTGGCATTGACTGCTATCAATATATCCCAATCAGCCACTTTTGCTAGGATAGTAGAGAGTGTATAAGCATGAAAAAAAACGAGTAAAAGCACAAATATCTTGAGACAAAAAGAGTAGCTGTTATTTTGTAGACAAGATATCAAATTTTCTTAGAATGATTCAATGATCTTTTTATGAAATATAATGTGCAGACTCTGCAGAGTCTTTCTCGTAAAAAAAAAAAAAAAAAAAAAAAAAAAAAAAAAAAAAAAAAAACACCTGACGCAAAAGTTGTTCAGTTTATTTTTGTTCAATACATAATTTTGAAATCACGAAACTACATAACCGTCAAGAAGGAAAGTAATGATTAAACCACCACATTTTCTGAGTGTTGGGAAAAATGGGACTAGAACGTACCGTCGTACACTGCATTTTTCGGGGGATCCGGCTGAGGGTCGGCCTTGAAGTTGTTCAAAACTCAAAAAAATAATATCTTTGGGCCCTGCCCGCTTGCCAAAACAAAAAAGAAAAAAAGAAAAAAAAGAACGAAGTAGATTCTTCTGCCACATGTCGGGAAGGGGCCCTCCCTCACCGACGGCATACTCACACAACTACTGCACATATTGTATCTGACCACTAGCACGGTTTGATGCATTGCTGTTCTTTCGGTAACCCCACCTCAAAGTCCACTACCTCAAGTGGGATCAGCTACTTCTGTGTTTTCGCCGTTGTTCATGTGATTGTTTCCGCATGGTCTTCATTTTCATGATCATCAGCCTGTTGGCCCTGTTTCATCCGAGCAAAGAAGTGCCACGCCTTTCTTGCCAACATCTCTCTCTCTCTCCTTCTTCAAGCTGCTGCTTGCTCCTCTTTGATCGAGTTCGAGCCTAAACAGCCAGCCCTATTCTCTGTTTATTCTACTCGTCTCTATATTACCGTAACGCCCATTACTGGTTCACAGTTATTCTAAACCTAAACCTATTTTCATGAGCCCCTCTCTCTCTCTCTCTCTCTCTCTCTCTCTCTCTCTCTCTCTCTCTCTCTCCCCCTTCCCCCCAAATTACCTTGCAATTGCACAGCTTGATCTCAATGTAACTCCACGTTTCTCCTTTACACGTGGTTCCGGATCTTTACTTGTGACAAAGATCAAGATCACCCTCGAGGGTTACAGTCCATACCGACATCAAGAAAGGTGATTCGAACCACCACTAGACCATCCACTAACAGGAATATTGCTGATCTGACATACTCTGCACGCACCCCGCAGCAAATCACATGAGTCCGTTTACAGAAATCAATCTGGGCAGGAAAGCAGCCTCGTTCATGACTCGAACGGTGTTTGAATGAAGGCAGCACTGAAGCTGGTCTTGATAGGTGTGTCACTTGAAACCTGCTTCTCCTGCGTGGCCGATCATTGCTCCTATGCTTCAAGCGTCTTCAAGCGTCTCCTAAGGAAGAGACAGCAGGCAAGAGCACAATGCAAGCCGTTCAGAAAGGCTGCACTGTGCAGCTCCCTAGTTCCATGGGAAGGGCGCTTCTTTTTTTTTTTTTTTTTTTTTTTTTTTTTTTTTTTGGTCGCGCTCTTCCGGTCAGAAATGTTCAGTTAAGGTCCCATGGGAAGCTCGCCAGGTGGCACTCTTCAGTTCTTAGGTTCATAGGTTCAGTGTATTGAACACTCTGTAGGCGCCTTGTCACTGTCGTTAAGCTCTGTGCCTGGGCAGGTGCCCTGTAGCTCCTATCGTGCTTGGCACCGCCAGCATGGACGAAGGGACCGCCATGATGTCATCGTACTTGTGGCTAGCCGACCACTTCTCGTTCCTAGGTCGCTGCAGAAAGCCATTCTCTGCACACCCCTACTGGCTTCCACCAGGCATGAGGAGAGAACCCTGGCCATGGTGTAGAAGCTTCGCTGCTTTTTAGGGTTTAACCCTAACATAGACCAAGGTGGCGCACTGGCGCATTGAGCGCCCCGGCGCCGCCGCTACGCCAGTCGGTCGCTGCCTGGCCTTTCGTCCGTCGCCTTGTTTTTTTCTTGTGATCTCTGTTTAGCAAGCATTGCCAAGCAATTCCTTTTTTTTTTCGTTCTCTTTTTATGAGAGGAAAAGGGCAACGGTCTTGAGATGTCATCGTTGAGCAGACCGGCCTGCCCCGACGGAGTTTGAGTTCGTCAGAACGTGAAATCCGCCCTCCCTCGCAGGCACGAAGACAAAAAAAATGGAATAAAAATACAAGAGGAAATAAATTTATATAACGATGGTATGTAAATTTGTCGTTACCAGAGAGCCAGGTGATTGAACGGCCTGCTTATGTCACGTATGAATAGCCTAGCTCTGGATCTGGTTGCCTTTGGACATTTGAGAGGAGCTGCTTACACCAGCCTGTGCTTCAAGAGTTTTTTTTTTTTGGTAGGGGTTTCAAATGGGAAAAGTAAGGGACGCTGGACCCGGTTTCCAGCACAAGCCGAAGCTGGGTAATGGCCCCAGTACTTTCCGGGTTGTTTGTGATGAATTCCCGGCCTCTCTTTTCCATGTGAAATGAAATGATGAACTTCTTAAAAAAAAAAAATCCGTCGGGGCACCAAGTGCACTAGTACTACACAATGTACCTGGTCGTTATAACGTCTAAGGCATTGTTTCGTTTTTTCCTTTTCTTTTTCCTGCGACGTAGTCACAGGGTGGATTCCACGTCCTGCCGAGACCATACTTGCTGAGGGTATGCTCACACAGAAGAACTTCAGTAAATGTACCTGACTGCCATGCTGTCTACATTGCTGTTTCTTTTATTTTTCCGGATTTCTTTTGTGTATTGACACGGCCGCGATGTAATCAATCTCCTTCGCGGTACCAAAAAATAGAACCAACCCAAGAGCCTAGCTCAGTGGGGACCACACCCATGAACTGCTGAAAATACAGACCCGTGTTCGAATCCAGATGATGGAAGTTGATTGATGAGTAAAAGTTGTAAAACCAACTATTTCTGAATTATCTGGGGCTGGTCAGCTTATATTAGCCTTTTAATGATGATATTTCAAGGCCGTTGCTCTTTAAAAGAAAAAAAAAGAAAAAAAATAAATAAAAAATAATTGTGAAGGTTCCACCAAAAGTTGACGCTCGGCAAAAAATTAGCTCGCAGGGAAAATCGGGGTCGGCAAAAGGAGGCTCGAGGTAGTGGTGGTTTGAAAAAGGAAAAAAAAAAAAAAAACGCGCAACCAAAAACACAAACACACAACCATGAAAAATTGGGAGGGGGGGGGAGAGGAGAGTGGGAAGGGGGAAGGGGGAGATGGGGAAACGGGGGGGAGAGTGGGGAGGGGGGAGAGAGGAAGGGGCCAGAAGAGTGACAATGAGGATATTAAGCCATCTTACCAAGATCCATCTTTCCGTTGAAGCTTCAGAATGCACCGCTGAGCCTTTTTTATGGCAGTTCTGATTTCATCTGATCTGTGGAGAGGGTAGGCCTTCGAAAACGACACCAGGGCTTGCAGACAAGCAGAGGTGCACTCCACAAACCTGAAAATAAATCAAAATATTTGGCATTAAAAAAAGAGAGGTTCATCAGAACTCTGTCCTTTCATCACCGCCCAGGGTGAGGTCCCAGCTGAAATAATTCTTCCCTCCTTGCCACCACTTCTCATAATCTATGGACAGAAATGAAGAATCTGAGCAAGTTGGACTGTACTTAGCCCCTGGTGAGCAGCTGAGTTCCCCCCAATAGGACAGGAGTGTTTGAAAGGATAGCACTCCTGGAGGAAGGCCCCATTAGCAATGTGATAGAGTTGGTGTGACAGGTGCGGGGGACGGTATTGTGTGACAGCTGTGGAGGGTATTTGGTGTGACAGGTGTGGGGGACAGTATTGTGTGACATGTGGAGGGTATTCCAAACATGTTAAACCGCTAGCACACGGCCCCAGCAGCCTTGCAGAAAGTTTTTGTCGCCACAAGCAAAACTCGGAGGGGCCGCGCGGCGTCGAGCGCTGTTGAAAAAAAAAGATCGGTGGCCTCCGAAGTGGTGCGGGTTTCGTTCGGACACCCGCGGGCCGATGCGTGATGTACTGGTGCTTTAAAACTACCTTTCGCAGGCAACAAAGGCCGACGGGATTGGTTAACTAACTTAAACCACCAGTACTTGGCCCAGCTATTGGCCGCGGGGAAAAAATAGAGTAGAAACATTTGTAGTCGGATGAATGTGGGCGCTCCTGTAGTGGCCCGTACGTTTCCTAAAATCGTGGCGCGTTAACGGGCACGACTCTAGGAAGTACTGGTGGTTGAACATGCGCGATGTCGTTTGGTAGGGGAAACGGTCTCTCCCAGACCTCTTTGACTGGTGGAGTGCCAGCCAAAAAGGGGGGGGGGGAAAAAACAAAGCGCCGCATGTTCTTTTTTTTGTCTCTTTTCTCCCCCCCCCTTCCACCTTCTGGGCACCACAAATCCATTCATGAGAAAGAGGCTGGGAGGTACTGGTGGTTTTGAAAACCACTACCTTTCACGGGCAAACTGGAGGGGACACCAAACTGAATCATTCTGGGTTCTCCGGAGGCCGGGCTGGGCTCTACTGTGGTACTGGACAAAAATTGGCTGGCATCGCCAGCCAAAAAGTGAAAAAAAAAAAAGTTGTGCTGGCACTTGGGCAAAGCTTGGCGCGCAGTTCTTTTCCACCTCCACCTCAGCGAAAAGAGGCTCGGAGGTAGTGGGGTGCTTTTACGCTTCAACAAGTGCAAAAGCACTACCTGGCATTTTCCATGTGTCCATTTGGATCCCGCAGTTGGGACAACTTTCCATGGATTTTTTTTTTTTTTTTTTTTTTTTGGGAACTTTCCATGGATTTCTCACTTTTTGTGTTCAGAACTGACAGTCATCAATAATTCATAACAGCACTACAGACAAAAACAAACAGCATGTCGGGAAGCTTAGGGCTCCGCCACACAGGACACGGATTCACGAAACGAAAAAAAAAAGAAAAAAAAGGAGTCTGTCTGGCACTGTCTGCCCACACCAGGTGGCGAAATAGATTTAAAATTTTAAATAGTAAAACTAATAATTTATACTAAAATACAGTCTTTTGTTTTCTTTCTTTTTTTCCACCATTTATACTATAGTAATGGATGAATCTTTTCCAGTTATTGTAAACAGATGCACTCATTTTTTGTCATTTAGTGCGTCGTGTGGTGAGGACCCTAGGGACAGTTTGAAAACTTTCCCCCAAAAAAAAAAAAAAAAAAAAAAAAAAAAGCCTTACCCAAAGTGGATTGTTGTCCTCAGGTGCTCTGACCATTTGTTAACTCGTTTTCAACTGTCGNGGGGGGGGGTTCAACTGTTGAAAAAAAAAACAAAAACAAAAAAAACTGTTATTTTAACTTGTCTATTCTTCACCTTTATTTTTGTTTTTGTCTTCTCCCCTGAATGCAAAACACGCTGATCATCGACGTACATACAACCTATCGTTTTGGCCCGATACAATTGGGATGGCCATCTGTTGCAACATCAAGTATATAAATCATAATCAACAAGTATATAAATCATAATCAACAACGGATTAGTCTGTTTTATAGATTTACTTCATTTTCTTCGTCTTTTTCTATCTACTTCAACTTTGTTGTCCGTGTGCCGGCACGAAGTGTGGCGTCAGAGTTTCCATAGTACATGAAAATGGAAGGGAAACAGTCAGTGTTCAGTTGAAGACGGTAGTCTCCTCTTTGTGTCCAGGTGCAATAAACTACCCGGTTTCACTCCCCAAATTCATCAAGCAAACACAGGATGTTCAATCGAAAGTTCGCACCAAAGTCACAAAATGGAAACGGAATCAGTGCAATGGAGAAGCTTCAATAAATAAATAAATAAATAAATAAATAAATATATTATTACGCAAAGAAAGAGTTCAGGTACCAAGCGGCACCATGGCCACGCACATCCCCAATTCTCCACCGGTAAGTACCCAACTCCCTCTCCCTCTCCGCTCTCTCTCTCTCTCTCTCTCTCTCTCTCTCTCTCTCTCTCTCTCTCTCTCTCTCTCTCTCTCTCTGACTGTCTCAAGACTTGTGTATCTCACTCTGTCTCTCCCCTGTTCAGATCGCCTTGTGTATCTCACTCTGTCTCTCCCCTGTTCAGATCGCCTCCCTGCGAACACCCGAGTCAACCCTGCTTCCGACCCTGCGGCTATGGTCGCCTTCTTCCACCTCGCCTAACCCTAGCTATGGTGGGTGCTCTTCCTTCTGGCGCAGGTCTACGCCCAAGTCGGACTGTCGCACAAGCATCCAGCAGTGCTTCCGCAACTCACGACACACAATCACTGCAGCAGGTATAAATAGAAGGATAGGCTTCTTTGGCCTGCTTCGGACTGGTACCGGTCACCCGCGGCCTCGAGTCTGCAAAAGTGCCGTTCCGGAACTAGGGAAGCTGCTGCGAAATTGGACTTATGGGACTGGACTTTTCTTGTGGGGGGTACCGGTACTACCGGTAGACTTTTTACTGGTCTGTGATGTTTCAGTGCCAGATCCAACTGACCTACGACGCTTCTCCCTACGGACGGACTCTCCGAGACCCCTTAAGGCCTGGGACTATGCCTACCGGGACCTTAGTCGCATTGCGACCATCTGCGAAAGAGCCCGAATGGGACTTTGGGACGGGACCGAGGACAAGTCTGCCGCGTGAAATCCCTTCACAGGAATCACCTGTGAGAAATTTCTTCCACTATCCCTCTTTACGAAATCCAAACGTATTTCTTGAAGCTCTCTCTAGCCCACTGCCATCTCTGTCTGTTGTTGATTTTTCTTCTTCTTTTTCCCAGATATTAAACTAATCAGAACAAATGCTACACTTGATCTCAGCCAAAAGACCGAGAAAGGTATAGTCCGTCTGCTGTTGAATAGCCAGGTGTGGTTGGGAATATGCCAGACGTCAAATAGTTTCAGCACATTCTCAATCAGATAGACTTGATTGGAATATTCACACGCTTGATTGGCAATTCCACAGCAACTGAAATTTATAAGACAAGCCATGGAACTGTTGGTGGCCCGTCCAAGACTATCTTGGGACTGCAAATGGAGCAGGTACAGTCTTGGGACTGTTGGTGGGACTGTTGGTGGGACTGTTGGTGGGACTGTTGGTGGATGGTTGGTCCTCGACTGCCCTGGAAAAGCCAGTTGGACTAGATACAGCCTTGGAACTGTCGTTGGGCGGTCCAAGACTGTGTTGGGACTGCCAGTGGACCAGGTACAGCCTTGGGACTGTTGGTGGGTGGTCCAAGACTGCCTTGGAACTTCCAGTGGACCAGGTACAGATTTGGAACTGTTGGTGGGCAGTCCAAGACTGCCTTGGGACTGCCAGTGGACCAGGTACAGCCTTGAAACTGTCGGACAGATGCAGCCTTGGAACTGTTGGTGGGCAGTCCAAGAACGCCTCGGGAGTGCCAGTGGACCAGGTACAGCCTTGGAACTGCTGGTAGGCAGTCCAAGACTGCCTTAGGACTGCCAGTGGACCAGGTACATACAGCCTTGAAACTGCTGGTGGGGTGGTCGAAGGCTGCCTTGGAACTGCCAGTGGACCCGGTACAGCCTCGGAGCTGTTGATGGGTCCAAGACTGCCTTCGAGCTGTTTGTGGGCCCACAATCGGGTTGAAACTGATGATGGGAATGCTTGGTGGGGGCTGAGATAGTCTTGGAGCTGTCCTCAGGCCCAAGTTATCCCTGTAGCTCTGTCGTCAAGAAAGAACCGCGAACATGAGAGAACGACGACGAAGGAGGGACTACCTTCTTCCCCCACCGAATACAACGTACGGCTTCCTTCTTCCCCCGAATACAACGTTTTTTTTTTTTTTTTTAAATACCGGGCCCAGTGGCCAAGGCTGATATTACCAATAAGATGATTGAGGCCGGGGTTCTCACAGTCTACCGGAGTAACCGAACCCAACTTGCTGAGAACCGGGCTCAGCGTCCCACCGTACGGTCCTTATAGCTGTGTTTGGGGTATCTTTCAGTCTGAGTACAGCTATAATGACCGTACGACGTACGTTGTATTCGGGGGAAGAAGGTAGATTGAAGGAAAAGGACATCATGGGGGGAGAGGGGAGGAGGAGGTTGGGATGTGTGTGGGAAGGTATGTCCAGGTTGTTGGACAGGCAGGGGATACGGATAGAGGAAGTAGGGAGGTTTCCAAGGGAGGCTTTGGGAGGCGGTTTTGGGTGGGATGCACGTTTCATCCCCCAAAGGAAAGCTCGTACTCCAACAACGCCTGAACTGATGAGTGAAGAAGGCTGTTAGACTGCAAGTGCATTGGGGACATTATTGGGGACATGCATATGTCGTATATACTATCTAGTATCTACCTCTTTTTCCAGAAGACGGAACGGAATGCAATGCTATGCTTGTAACAGGAAATTATGACCTAGAAAACAACAAAATTGGTACAAATGGATGGTGATCAGGGGTCCCATTTTTCCCATAATGATAGTACTATAGAGCCATTGAGATAAGGTTGGGTGAAACAAACAAAGGGAATTTGAAAAACACTGGGCTGGTTTATCTCCTCCATTACTGATGTCTGCATTCAAACTCTCAAGCTGGTGAATCTTCAAAATGGTGATTCATCATCATCATCATCAGAGGACCTTAGTTCTCACCTTGCCTGAACAGGGAGCACAGCAATGGACCTACTGCATCAGAAAGCTTATTAGAGTTATCTGAGGATTACAACCAACCAACAAACCAACCAACCAACCAACCAACCAACCAAGCAAGACACCAACCAACCAGCCTACCAACCAATCAATCAACAAGTCAATCAGTCAGTCCATGCACAATCCATCAAATCCATCAACTCCATCAAATCCATCAAATCCATCAAATCCATCAGATTAATCAATCAATCAATCAAATCAATCAGATTAATCAATCAAATCCTAGGCTACCAGCCGGGCCGCCCGGGCCCCGGGTTACCAGCCCGTGCAAGGACAAGGGAAGGTCCCAGCAAAAAAAAAATAATCCAAAAAATCTGAAAAAATACTATGTTATGTAGAAAACTAAACTAAACAACTTCTGCCTCAGGCTCACATCGAAATTCTTTACCAAATTTAAAATATAAAATAAAATTTTAAAATATAGATATTTCTTTTATCTTTTTGGCCCGGCCGGGCAAGTGACCCCGGGCCACTCTGGTAGCCAAATCAATCAATCCATCAATCCAACCAACCAACCAACCAACCAAGAAACCAACCAACCAACCAACCAACCAACCAACCAGCCAACCAATCAACCAACCAACCAACCAATCAAAAAATTATTCAATTAGTAAATCAACCAATCAATCAACACATAATTCACTCTACCAACCAACCAACCAAGCACCCAACCAACCAAGCAGCCAACCAGCCAACCAGCCAACCAACCAACCAACCACCCAACCAACCGACCAACCGAGAGTCGTGATAACCAAACAAAAGCCCATGTGCATACCTGGTTGCCCCTGTGCATACCTGGTTCTGGGATGTCAGGACTTACGTGTAGTCGATCATTATGTCCCCAAATGTCTCAGCAGGATTCAGCCACTACAAAAAGGTCACGCACGCCACGCACAAGATGTCACCAAGTGTCAGAAAACTGACAAAGTGATAACAATGACATCCCGACAATAACCGACCCCCTCTTTACGCCGTCTAGCATTTCACCATCCCTCCTTAACTGCAGCGTGCTATGCGACTATGTTGGTCCAGGTCCTTGTGCGTTTCCCTGAATGCCTCCTCGACTATATTACCCAATTCACGAACCAACAAGATCAAAAAAAAAAAAAAAAAAAAAAAAAAAAAAAAAGTGCATCTCCAGCGACAATATGGGTGCAAGGTTATGTGCATGGGCCTGGCTGCACCACAGACAAAATGTTAAAAACTGGCGAACGCATTATTCCAATTTTAGTGGAATGGTCCACTGAGTTACGCTCCTCACTTCTCACATTTGGCCAGTGATGCAGTGAGGGTCTATGAGCGTCTTCTCTTCTTTTTTTTTTCTTTTCTTTTCTTTTTCTTTTTTTCTTTTTTGATGCAGTGATGCAGTATGCGCATCTTGACAACAAACAAAATCGGAAAGACTCCGCACCAACCAAAGAGGTGCCTCAGGAGGGATAGAAACAGGGAGAGGACTCTGAGGAGGTGGGAGAAAAACGAAGAGCAGAAGCAAAAGAGGTGCGGGAGCTGAAGAAACAGGCCAGAAAACAATATGAGAGAGCGTGCACAACGAAAGACTGAAGACCGTCCACTGTCCGGGAGAGATTCTTCCAAAGTCTACAACAACCCGGCCTCTACAAAAACCTGGGTGTTTAGGGAAGGGAAAAAAAAAAAAAAAAAAAAAAAAAAAAACGGACAGAGTAGTACACTTTCGCTAGCCGACGAAGGGCTCCACACATCCATTTGCAGCTCAGCAAAAAATACCCTCATCGTTTCATGTCCCACACCCTCCCGTTCGTGCAACTCGACACGATAGCGCATCGCACACGTGGTTGGAAATCTTCTCAGATGGCAATGAAAATTAAAAGGGGGTGGGGGGGTGGGGGGGTGGGGGGGTAGGGGGAGGTGCAGAGTCCCCAGTCCCCCCCTTTTCCGACTGGGGGGTGAGAATCCATAATCAAAAGAATAATTCCCATCCAACATTACACAGTAAGAATAGTACACTGATTAGGATTGAGAACTTCAGACCTGAACTTCGGGTCATCTGTTATTAAAAAAAATAAATTGGAATGCTGCAGAGAAAATTTGCATGGCACCTGCGCCGGGAAGACACATAATTCGAGGAGTGGTCCCAAAGCATGGCTACGATCCGGACGTCCGGACCGCCGTCCAGATGGTCCAGATTCAGTCCAGACTCCAGACGTCCGGCATGGAAGGTCCAGATCTGCCAAAATTTGAGGGGGGGAAAAAAAAAAAAACGGTCCAGGACCCTTCCCCATTGAGGAGCCAAGCCTCCAAAATTGTTTTGGGTTTTTTTTAGGCCCGTTTATGCTTTCTTGGGAGGTCCGGACATGCTCTCTCTCTATAATAATTTATTAGACAACCCCAATTCTTTGATTACTAATAATTCATTACCTTTTATTAGTTTTTAAAGTCTTTTTTAAAGCTTTTTTTATCGCTAACTCAAGTTTGGTTAGGAATTCTGACATGACTCTGAGGCAAAAGTGGTTTGCAACTTTGCATTGTTATTCTGCATAGCATTTTTTTTTTTGCAGAATTTTTTTTTTTTTTTTTAATGGTCTGGACATTTCCGGACCTGTCCAGACATCCGGACCGTCCTGATCCCCCATGTCCGGAGGTCCGGAAATGTCTGGAATTCTGGATGTCCGGAAACTACCGGGCACAGGTCCGGTTCCATGTCCGGAAATGTCCAGGTCCGGGTTCGGCGTAGCCATGTCCAAAAGATTCCAACCGTTAAAAAAAAAAAAAAAAAAAAAAACCTCAGACCTTGGGCTAGTCGTCAGAGAACATTGGGACAAAAATCTTCGACTAAAGCCTGGACCAGGAATTCAAGAATACGATTTTTCATGTTTAAGC